CCAGATTTTCAAATAGTTGTATCTCGGCCAAATATTGTCCTATCCTAACAAAAAATTGAACCTTATGACTGGTTTTGTGGTCCAGGGTCACATATGTTTAAATGCATAAATATCAGGATATTTATCAAATTTGAATTAAAAGTCTGAAAAAATTGAGATTTATTGTTGTTGTTTTGGCCACTCATCCGTTTTTTAATCTTTAAGATTTAATCTGTTTAATTTAATGATCACAGTCTTGTATCATATACGTTTGTATCGTGCCTTTAAGGATTGTCTGATCGAGGTGTTGGAAATCGTCGAGCTCGGCATCTCGGGATTGGCTTGTGTTTTTTAAATTCAGTATCATTAAAATTATTGAGTTAAATTTAAAAAGTCTTACAAAATTACTTTATATTATTTAATCAAATAATAAATAATCATTACAAAGCAGTTCGGTTTTCGGCCAAGTGCATCCAGTATTTTCGGTTTCGGACCTTTCCAACATCACCTAATAAATACGCGCATTGTAGAGCTAATGCTAGCCGAACATTTGTGGTTAAAAAGTATATAAATATATATTTTTTCAGAAAATAACTGATCGTTTGGCTAGATAAGACCCTTATTCCTCGGCTGGGATCGCGTAGAGCCCTTTGAAGCTGCATTGAAACTGCACTTTTAACCTTCAATCCGTTGAGCACCACTGAAGTCCACTATATGGAGAAAATTCCTGGAGTGTTTTCCTCAAAAGACTTAATTTCTTTGCGACTGAAGAAAGAAAGACATTAACATCTTGGATGACATGGGGGGTGAGTAAATTACCTGGGAGTGGACTTATCCTTTAAGCCCGCCTCTGATTTGTGTCGTTGTGTGTTCCAGTATAATGCAGGTGTTGGGTGCGTTCCCGTCTCCCAGCGGCCCCGCGTCGCCCTGCAGTCTGCTGAATGAAGACACGCTGATCAAATACTCCCGACTCACTTCCACATCCCACAGCAACTTCAGATACTTCGTTCTGGATAACTCCGTCATTCTGGCCATGCTGGAGCAGCCGCTGGGAAACGAGCAGAGTGAGAGCGACACGCTTCACATCTCATTCCTCCGGTACATTTCAACTCTGATTTCTTATCAATGCGTTTGTGTCAGCAGACCCCTGTCCGTCAGTCACCATGTTAATCAGAGGCATGTCCGGTCGACACGCGTGGACAATGCAGCTCTTCCATCAGCCTCGAGGAGCAAGAGCCAATCAGAAGGTAAGACGCAAGCTCAACCACCAATCAGAACGTAGATGTGCTTTCAGTAGCCAATCAGAAGCAATTAAAATGGCCTGTGAGAGAATGTGGCTTCTCAGATTCAGTGTTTGGGAATGATCTGCATCTTGACAATTCTGCTGATTTGCAAAAAAGGCCTGTTTCCTAATTTGTTCAAAAATATTATTAAAAACGACTTTTTTTTTTACAAAATAAAAATTAAGATTTATCAATAACAAAGCAGTCAGCTGTCAAAAGTTTTGGTTTTAAAGACACAACGGAGTATTTAAAATGCATCATTTCACCTGTAATCTGCAAAGTAGTTGAAAAATCTGTTTAAATACTCAATTTAATGCCAAAACAAAACCATAAACAGAAGTTTAGAAATAAATAAGCTTTTTCATAAAATCTGTAATTTTCTGTGGCTGTTTGGATGTAAAACACCCACAGGTGAAGCGGAAAAGATCAGGCTCGTGTTTGCATTTTCTTCTGTCTCTGGCCGTAATTCTAACCTTGAAATCAGGATTAGGCATCAAATAATGTCATGCATGTGAAAATGTGCTGAGAGTTGAACAAATCATTGTAATCTGGCTCAGATGAAGACAGGAATCATGCATTTGTGGTGTTTTTCTGCTGATTAAGGAGTAATGCTAGACTTCTTCACCTTGCAAATGATTATCAAAAGCAAAAATGCTATGAAACGCACATATTTTGCGAGAAATTGTGACAGGCTCGAGCAAAACAGACACCCAAAATGAGTAAGAAACGGGTATTGGATTTCATTCAGCACATGTGATGAGCAGTGTTATGATTATACTCGGTCTCTTTATGTCCTACAGCAAGTGTTTGTTCCTGAAAACCGACCGGCTCCCAAGAACGATGTAGGGATTCGGTTTAACGTCAAGCACAGGCCGTTCCCGGAGGAAGTGGATAAGATTCCGTTCGTGAAAGCCGACCTGAGCATCCCGGATCTCCATGACATTGTGGATAAGGAGGTAAAAAAGCCTCCGAACACTGTGTTAGCTTTCGTATTACACACTTGACATTGCTATGTGAATGGTATCAAGTTTTCACATCATGATAATTGCTGAAGCTTTTATCACCTTATAGAATTAAGTTAAGAAAAAAATAAGTGCTGCCCTCTTAATAACAATTTAGTAACTTCTTATAGAAGCATTTATATACATTAAAACCATAAAACAGCACACAAACAAATTGATAAAGTAAACAAAGGTTTCAAACAGATTAAAGTGCAAATAAACAATAATAAAGTTTGAAGTTTATTTACTTTTCTGCTTAGCAATACTGAGATTGAATTATAGCAGAAAGTACATTGAAAGATAAAATTGCAAGGAAAAAACATAAAATACAAAGATAATAAAGAATCAGAACATTTTCAACCATTACAAAGAGACTTTAAATAGCATGCTTTAGTCCAGATTAAAGAGGTGAAATGTATCAAGTAAACATATGTTCCGAACAGATTTAAGTGTAAAGTAACACTAATATATTTAACAATAATAAAGATTCAGAACATTTTCAGTTCAGTCATGTTTTAGTCCAAATTGAAATGTTAAAAATGTTTAAATATAAACCAGGGTTATTATAGTTAAATGAAACTAAACCTAAAACCAAACCCATAAAAAAAATGTTACTTTAAAATAAAATAAACTTAACCTGAAATAAAATATATGAAAAACTTTTTTCACTTCAGCATGTTGCCAAGCTAACTTTTCACATTTTCATTTAGTTTAACTGAAGCTAAAACTGAAATAAAAAATATATTAAAAGCTATATAAAAAAACCTAATAAAAATTACAAAAACACAACAACATTACTAAAATTTAATTAAATTTTTTTTTAAAAACTTTAATAGTATCTCAATGACACTACAATAACACTGGTATAAACAAATGTTTGAAAATAAATTGCCCATTAAGCCTTAAATAGAAATAGCCTTTAATAAAAATTGCATAATAATAATGACAGAAATTGACTTTCTCATATTTGGTGATGTTGATTCAGCATTGATTCAGTATTTTCCTGTTTATTACTGTGAAGCTGCTTTGAAACAGTCAATATTATATAAGCACTATAGAAATCAAGGTGATTCGACTTAAATATTAGTACTTGGTGCCAAAACATCCTAGCATCTGAATGGCTGTTTAAAACATTTTAATACTGTTTGACTTCTCCATGATATCATTTATGGGGAGCAACTACATGGAAAGAAGCGTTCCAGAAATCTGTGCACCTCATGATTCACATGAATATGAAACATGTCACTGCTCAGTATGTGAGTGTTTATCAGAGAGTCACACTCACAGTCGTCTTGTATTTGTGTTTCAGTTGGAGCAGCAGCACGATAAGCTGCGAGCCGTGATGGGAAAGCAGATCGATTACGAGACGAAACTGGAGCACTGTACGGAGGAGTTATGGAGGAACAAACCCTTCCCAGACCCGCTGACAGACTGTAAACCGCCGGCTCCCGCTCAAGAGTTTCAGACGGCCCGCCTCTTCCTGTCGCACTTCGGCTTCCTGTCACTAGAGGCGCTCAAGGTACGAGAACGGACCGTCAGACGTTTGCTTTCAATGTCTCTGTTAGCGAAGGCCAGTATTTTTGAGGTTTTCAGCATTTCAGCTCTTCCTTTGGATCAGTTCCAGCTGTCAATTCTGATTCCAGTGGCATACTTTAAAATGAGTTTTTGCTAAATATTGTGTACAATTATGTAAATGTAAAAAATTTATTATAAGAATATTTTTAAACAATATCACACAGCATTTGTGATTTAAATTTTTTATAAAACACACATTTCCTATCTTAATGAGGAGATATGATACATTTTTTGTATTTATTTTTTTGTTAATTTATTATTATTTAGATATTATTACTGTATTTTTATATGGTATTTTGCATTTGCTTTTATTATTATTTTTTTATTTCAATTTAATAATTGACGTAATTAATACTGTATTATAAAAATATATTTTTAAACAATATAACACAGCATTTGTGATTTTATTTTATTTTTAATTTTTTTTTATAAAGCACACATTTCTTAATGAGATATGATAAAAAATGTTGTATTTATTTTTTTGTTAATTTATTATTTAGATACTATTACTGTATTTAGATTTTTAATTCTCTTTTATTTTTATTTTTTTTTATTTTTATTTAATAATTAACATAATTAATATAATGTATTTTAAAAATAGTTTTAAACAATATCACACAGCGTTTGTGATTTTATTTTATGTAGAACACTAGGGCTGGGTTTTGACACAAATTTCAGGATTCGATTCGATTCGATTCTCATTCACAAGCTCGCGATTCGATTCAATATTGATTATTTTGGATATATATCAGGTACAGTACATGCCAAATTTTCTCAAGCAACATTGAAGAACAGTAAAATGTATAATGAATATTTTATATGGTGCATATATTTAGCAAAATGCCCCTATTTACAGTTTATTTTTCTAGCTGACTAATGAGTTTATGGTCACCGAATATGTTTTTCTGAGGTAAATGTGACATTACGTGACATTGTTTACAAGCCGTTATATTGACGTCTTTGCGCGGCTGAAACACTGATTGAGCGATTACATGAGACAGGATACGGATTGTAAAGTTGTACTCTTTCTTTTAACTTACCTTCGGATGTTTAGTCATGTTTATTTTGTGCTATAACTAGTATTAAAGTGGAAGAGATGATCAGTTCACTAAGGCACTACAGCGATCTGTCACTCCACATTAAACAGCGCCAAAACTACATTTATTGTTTAAATACTGCAATACAATGGACAGAATTTGACATCTGAGACTTTGTTTCATATTAAAATTACCAAAGCACAATGCTTATTGTGATTTATTGGATGGGAGGTGCACGTCAATGTTCCGTCCATTAACTGAAAACAGGCTAGACTAATCGATTCTTGGGATTTAAGAATCGATATCGTTCCGTAAAAATGAGAATCGATTAATATCGAGATATCGATATTTTTTACCCAGCCCTATAGAACACACATTTCCTATCTAAATGAGGAGATATGATCTTTTTTTTTTGTTAATTTGTTATTATTTAGATACTATTACTGTATTTTTTTATATTTTGAATTTGCTTTTATTTTTATATTTTTAATTTTAAATTCATAATTAACAATTGATGTACATTTAAAAAATTTATTATAAAAATAGTTTTAAACAATTTCACACTGAGTTTGTGATTTTATTTTATATAAAACACACATTTCCTATCTGAATGCGGATATATGATGCATTTTTTGTATTTTTTTTTTTTGTTATTTAGTATAATTTATATACTATTACTGTATTTTTATACAGTATTTTGCATTCACTTTTATTAAAAAAAATTAAATTTCAATTTAAAAATTTATGTAATTAATAATGTAAATTTAAAAATGTATTATAAAACAATATCACACAGCATTTCTGATTTTATGTTATTATTTAATTTATTTTTAATTTATTTTATAAAAAAATAACTGCTGCTGACAATCCTCATCAAGTTACGCTGAGAAATTAATTTTATTAAATGTTTATAGCTAGTGCATCCCTACACATACACTGGTTGTTTGTTTTGTCAGGTGAAGGTAGTTGTGGAGTGCATATTTTGCACAATAATATGTTAAATTAATTATTAAAAAATTATTATAAAAGTATATTTAAACAATATCACACTGAATTTGTGAGTTAAAAATATTATTAATTTTACTGGCTATTTTATTTTATTTGTTATTTTATTTATTTATTTTTTATCTGTCCTCTCCTCTAGCTGCACTTATGCAGACTTTAGCCAGTGTTCTAGATTCAGATTCTACATTTTAAGCATTTAAAAATAGTTTCAGTGTCTTCAATGTCATTCATACTGAATTCCTATTTCAAGTAGCTGGATTTTTCTCAGTAATAATGTTTTTTCCCGGAGTATCTGTATTAATGGCAGGAAAAAGCATTGCCCTAAATCTAGCCGGTGCTTTGTGTGTGTGTGTGTGTGTGTGTGTGTGTGTGTGTGTGT